CCAAAGACAGCTGATAATGTCTCCTAGTTTAGCCATGAAATTACGAATGTTGGTAAATAGTTTTCCATATGATCTGAATTATATCTTGCAAAATCTCCAGTCTTGAATGTAGAGCCTGGGTGGGCTAAGAAACAAAGTGTGGAAGACTCTGATTATGCTAGCTTATACCTGACTAGTCAGGTGCAAAGCAAACGTCCATTGTCCCTTGTTTGGAGAGCACAGTAGAGTATTGCCATCCCACTCTTAACAGCAGACAAAGGAAAGGACATGAAGCAATGAAGCAGGTCTCTGGGCTCAGCTGCATATCGTCCCTGCCCAGAGAGCTTCACCTTGGCAGCCTTTGTGCACAAGGGACCAGCAAGGTGGTCATATTCTCATACAGAATTCTGGAGTGGGAAAGCCTACCTACAAAGAAATTATTTTAGTTTATATAACCAAGTCCATTTAAATGAAAACAAACATTTATAGACAATATTTGGGAATTTGGGCGTTGTTTTTTCCAAACTACTTCCTGATAGTAAGGGGCGCTGCCATGGGGGATTCGAAGAAGATTCAGAAATCCTGGCTGTAGTCTGTCAGGCTGCTTTGTCCAGCCCTTTTGAATGTAAGATCACCTGGTACTCTGTTTCAGGTGGTCTGGCTTGATCAAACCACATTAGTCTGGAAGGAATCCACATCTTTTCATTTTCTGTGGAAACAAAAATAGAAATCCTTTTCCCCAGTAACTTGTCCTTGAACTTAAATTTTGGAGTCAAAGCAATTTTTTTAATTTAATTTATTATTTTACATGTCGATCCCAGTTCCCTCTCTCTCCCTCCCTCCCTCCCTCCTTCCCTCCCTTTTACCCTCTCTGCCCTCTCACATGCATTCTAACCACCCTCCCCTCCCATCCCCCCACCCCAATTCCTTATGTAGGGGAATGCCATCCAGTAGGGGTCATGTAGGTCTGACAGGTCATGTGAAGTAGGGACTAGGGCTTCTCTCCTGTCTCTAGATTAAGGCAGTTATCCCTCCATAGGGGATGTGTTCACAAAGTTCTTCTGTGCACCAGGGATACATCCTGGCTCCACTGTCTGAGGTCCCTTAGACTGCTCAGTCCTAAATTTTAAATATTACTAGGAATAACTACTTCTTTCCCACAGCGTGACAGTTCTCCTGTAGCCTTCATTAACAATCTCCCCAAGATGCTCCCGTAATGGCCTTTATTTTCATATAAACAAAATAGTGGGAGAAAGTAGCATTGAGAAACTCTGTCAACATCAAATGAAGAAATCCTACCTAAGGAAACAACATCATGCCAGCTCTTGTCATTTCTCACGGCACTCTTAAAACTATCCGTGCTCAGATAGAGCTTCTGTGTCTCCCTGTTGCCTTCCTCGCTACTCCTGTGAACTTCTTGAGTTCTGCGCTTGGCAATCGTTCTGTTTTTCTTGGAAGGCAGCATTGTGCAACATACTGCTAGCTGAAGGCTGTGATGCAGAGATTCAGTATTGAAAATAAGATGGAGAGAAAGAGGAATTTATTCTGTAAGACGAAAATGACTCAGTGTCCCAGGGCCAGGATGTTCTAAATGCTTCATGTGACAGGCTTGTCTCTTGTGAAGAACATGTCGTTTGTCCGCCAGAAATAAATTTATCTTTATTTTGTTCATCTTGGTTCATGAGAACGGTAAAAAGACCCAAGGGACCTCTGCCCCCTCCTCTCTCAGGACTTCATCCTATGGAAAGATTTTTGCCTGCCATGGGTAGTCTTAAGCTTAATGACCTATGTATCCTCAAACCTTCTGGTGAGATGTTTATCAAAATGTCATTCCTCCAAAGAGAAATCACAGTGAATAGCCAGTGGAAAGTTTTTAAGTAGATGGTGAGATGGTGACAGATTAACGGCTTTCTCTTTCTGAGATAAGTAGCCATGTACTCTTAATGAGAACACACCTTCATGCCCAGAGCTCATGTATTTTCCAGGGCTCACCTCTTTCTCGTATATTTATCACATCCTAAAGTCACACACATTCCTCTCTCAAAGGACTGTCTCACACGGAGTTAATCCTTTCAGACAGTTCTTCCAGGATTGCTGGGGTGGCCTGCTGCCATTCATTTATCTCAAAGATTTAGTCCATATGGGATAGATTGGAAGAAGAAAAATGTCTAGTCTCTGCTTTTGTTCCTTGTTGTCCTTGGGATATGAATATATTTTAATATCATTCCCGGGCTGCTTTGATTTTCTGTGAGGTAACACCAGATCTATCGGTTTGATCAAAGGAACATCTGACTTTCTTGTCGATAGAATCACAATAGTTTTTACTTCCCTGAAATCCATTGGCTTTCGTATGTGTGCATGCTGTCTTCCTTAATATTCATTTCAGCAATATTTCCACTCACAATCATACTAGCTCAGAGAGTGGGCCGCAGAACATCTCAACACTTTCTAAAACCTTTTGCCCTATGGTTCTGTTTTTTCCAGAAATATTGGCCACTTCTTCTGCAATAAATCCTATCAGAAAATAATAAGCCCCGTGCACTCAACACTGAAAAAATAAATGGTAATTTGAGGTTAAATTATTTTCATTAAACATGGAATTTTAGGGTTAAAGTCTTGAACCCATGGGGAGAAGTGTCCAGTTAATTTTCCTTGATGCCCTCCTTTTTAAAGACCATTTCTGTATCTCACTTACCATATGCAGAGTTAATTGCTTTTCATTTATATTTTGCATATGCTATAGAAACCATCTGTAACTTTCAATGGCATTGAAAATAGTAGCAGTAGTCTACATTAGAAATGTACATACCACAGTGAGGTCTTGGTGAGATGGCTCAGCAGTTAGCCACTGACCTGGCTCCCAGAACACAGGCAGCTGACAACCATCGGTAACTAATGTTCCAGATCTGATGCCCTGTGCTGGGCCCTGCTGGCTTCTGCTTGCATATGGCACTTGTAGGCTAATGTAGGCATACACACACAACTTAAAAATAAATAAATCTTAAACAACTCACATTCTTGGTCAGCTCATCCCTTTTAAATATAGCAAGTCATATACATATTCATAATAGAATAAAATAGAATTTACTTAAACTAAGTCATTAGTCTATCATATGATGCTGAGAAATTGCTATCTCTGAAAGATAATGCACTTGGTAAATTATAGGGTTTTTTGTTTGTTTGTTTTTTGAAAGAAAATGCCAAATTGAGACAGGAGTTTTTACAGTATTTTTAAAAGGTTCTATTCACAAAGTATTGAGTTGATGTTCTTTTCTGTAATACATGATAACTCAAATCAGTATATGATGGAAATAACATCATTCTTGAGCTTGAAACATCAACATATGTTTTGTTGAAGAAGAAGAGAAGTCTCATGGTTTTCTTTCTGGTTTGTAAAAACCATAACCTTCTTGACCTGATGTCACAGGCACATAGTCTCTCTTTAATCTGTGGAGTATAGATTATAATTGTCATGTAGAAAATTAAATTGACCTGTTTTTATTGTGATAGCAATGTGTAGCAGACTTTGCCAAGTTGTTATGACCCCAGTGGCTTGAAATCATTAGTTGAGCAGGTGACAATCATATGAGTCAGCCTTCTATAAATTAATCTCTCCCAAACACTTTATTCACTCATTCAACCTCCAGCGAGAGCTCACTTCAGCATGTGACCGAACTTTCTGCACATAGCTCTTCACCTTCCTGCTATTAGTGCAAGCCAATCCCAAGGCCACAAGCAGACTGACAACTGAAATATGCCAAGAATTGCTTTTGATAGTTCTAGAGGATAAGTAATTAAATGGCCCTAATTTAAATATTTATAAGCCATACTGATCATTTGATTGATTGATTTATTAACATTTGTGAAGTTCATCAGCAATTTTAAATTAGAATTAATGAGAGTTTACCAGGAAAAGGCAATGCCCATAAATCAAAAATTTAAATATTAAAGCATTAAAGAAATATGAGCTGTGTGAACATTTAATTTTTCATAATGGTTAGTTGGGTAATTTTACCTAAATTGTGTACTGGCCAAACTATAATTAAATCATTACAATGACTCTGCTGAGTGCAATGGCCAAATATGTCTTGTAAAATGAGTAGCATAAATTTCCTTAGTTTATTTTTGGCTTATCATATCACAAGGATTTCTTGTTCATTTTTTTTTTTGTCAAAGATTTTAAAGTCAAATTTTAATTACAGTCTGTATTCTTCCTCACACTATAACTATTGGCTGCTTTGTCTTCTGTTGGATAACAGATTTTAACATATTGTTACTGGAGTTTTATATTTTGACTTACTTAAAGTGGTACGCTTTTCTAAGAGTTATTTTTATTTCAGTTTTGCATGTATGATTATGTTTTCTGGATGTATGTCTGTGCACCACATGTATATGCCTGGTATGCTTAGATGTCCGTCAGATCCACTGGATTTAGAGTTCAAGACAGTTAGTTGTGAGCTACCACATAGGGGCTAGAACTGAATGTGGGTCCCCTTTAAGAGCAGCAAGTACTCTTAAAAACTAAGCCATCTCTCCATCCTTAAAAGGGTATAAGATTTTAAGAACACTAGATTTGCATAATTATATATACATGTATAGTTGAAAAATTATTAAAAAAATAAAATTGGCCGTCTGCTTCCTCTTTCTGACAGCGTATCACACAGCCCCATTGCGTGACTTACGGTGTTTATTTCCCTGGGTAACCACAGTCTTACTGACATGAAAGTGAAGCTTTGCACAATGCAACATGTGTTTAGAATTTCCCTGGCAAAGAATAGTAAAGCTATAGCAGATTCTTCCAACCAGAGATATTCAGATACCTTTGTTACCAGTATAGTGTGAAATGCTAGCTATCGAAAGAATTTGTTTCTTCGTGTTAATTTGCTCATGGTATCTGTTCAATCTTATTCCTATTAGAACACTGATTTTAGTAGCTTAAGTATCTTTCAAAGCAATAATAAAAATATTGGTGATGTAAAATACACCTTTAATTTACCATAGTTACTCTCTTGTCTCCGCAGCTTATGGGTCATTCAGAATGGGACCACAAAAGAGGACCACGGGGATCCCAGGTAAATATCCTCTCCTTCATTTTTCCAGGTCCTATTTCTTGATGGTTTGAGGAATGAGATTCTGTGAAATTTAAGAAATAATAATCAGCAGATGGAGGAAGGGGTAAAATAACCATGCCGTTTGTTTTCATTTACGTTAGCTGTAATTAAAGTCTGGATTTCAAGACCCACAGGCAGATGTCAGTCTTTCCCTCCGGAGACCCTCCTGGTTCCCCAGGCTGCTCGGTGTTTATGCGAATGTGAACTTTCTGTTCATCTCCGCTCTGCAGAACGCGCTTTGATCAACAGCACACTCTCCTGATTTCATTCACTTCCTTTGATAATTCCCCATGTATTTTCTTTCTCCCCTCCTCTATCTTCCTGGTTCTGGTTAAATATTCTGAAATATAATCAGGGGTAAACTCTGAACTAATTAGGAGATTTTTGTCTCTAAATTAATTGTCTTTGTCTAAGTAAAAAGAAAGACGAAAGGACCTATTACTTTTGAAAAGAAACAAATTCTGGACCTTTCTATATTACCAGACTGTTTTCACTGTCTTGTTTTATGTCTTAGGCAAAGGGAAAACTTCCATGACGCATGTATGCTCTTTAATGACCTAATTAGACAATGTGGATATGTTTTTCTTCCATAATTACATTGCCTGACAGGATAAAGGCTGTGTTTCACACTCAGAATATTCTTTTTCCTCCAAGTATATTTTGTAAACATGTAAAAATATATTTTTCTTATAACAGCCTCTATTAACACGACTATAAGCATGACCCCAAAAAAGTACGTGGATGGAAATTCTTAGCTCTGGCTTCAAGTTTCTGAATGTGAATGTACTGTGTAGTATACGTATGTTCTTTGTCAAAAGTGGGCTGCCCCCAAGTGTATTTCAGGCAGCTATGTGTGCGTGTGTCACCATTCTGTCTGTATACAACTGTTCACCTAGGCCACAGGGAAAATAAAATCAAATCGATGGATGGTTTCAGTTCTGCCCTTAGAAACTGCAATTAAAAAAAAAAATCTTCAATCAATGTTTATTCAATATTTAAAAAAATTAGTAAATAAAATATTCCTATTGAGAATATTTAGGTAAAATATCTCACTGAGTATATATAGTCTTAAGTAGCATTGGTGTAGTGAAAATTTTAGATAAGAATGTGAATCTATTTTCATAGAAGCTGTGATCCTTTTTCTGTACCAGTTGGATGAATAACCAATATAAACAAACTCAGAATTGTTTGAATCAGAATTATACAAAAGACTGCGTCTTCTGCTTTTTTCTCCTCTTCCATTTTCTCTGGTACTTCTCTCTCTGTTCACAACTATAGTATCTTAAATCACAATTTCCTGCAAATTTCCTGTACATGATGAATTGCTCAGATTAGCAGAATAAGTGCTTTGCACCTTTATGATTGCAAACCAGCAATAAAAAGAAACAGCACAGTTCCTAGCATCCCCACTGGGTGAATCAAAAATGCCTGCAACTCCAGCTCCAAGGAATCTGATGTCTCTGGACTCCAGGGTTACTCACACATATAAACATGCATACATACATATAATAACAAATTCAATAGATTTATTAAAATAGTAAATAAACAGCACAAATAAGCCCATAGTTTCTGAATATTACTGCCCAAATGTTTTGATGTTCAAAATAGCCAAGTAAATCATTGAAGATATATACTGACAAAAGAATATAATAAAATATCTACATACATTTTTTTAAAATATGTTTCTCTCTATGGCCCATTGTCCTGTAATTTATATTAAGGTTGGGCTTGGGCACACTGTTGTGTAATATATATATATATATATATATATATATAACTCCTGACAATATGTTGCCATTACTTGGAAGAATAAAAGAAAACTCCCGAGTCAAATTATAGTCTAGGTGTTTTATATAAAGCTTAAAATTATATGCATAAAAATTATTTCATAGGCAGGCATTGGTAGTGCATGCCTTTAATCCCAATACTGGGGAGGTAGAGGCAGGCGGATCTCTGTGAGTTTGAGTCCAGCCTGGTCTACAGAGCTGGTTCCAGGACAGGCTCCAAAGCAATAGAGAGAAACCCTGTCTCAATAAAAACCAAACCAAACAAAAAAAGATTTCATACATTTTATAAAAGTTGGATGACATTAGAAAGCCTTTCTAGTTCTGAAAAATCAAAGGAATTTGTTTATGCTCTCGGGAATTGTATCATGCGCAGCGAGGGCTTTCTGTGCCTTTTGGCCTACAGAGTAACTCTTCTCAATGTCTTATACCAGCAACCCGCTTCGATTCTTCAAACAGTTAACGATGCCTCCTCCATCCTTCAGGCGTTCCAGAAAGATAAATGCAGCACTGTGTAGCACCTATGAGCTAATTCTAATTTCTTGCTACATTGCTACCATAAAATACCAAAAGCATTGGGTAGAGCATTAATCCCTTATTCTCTGTCTTTTAAAACATAATATTCTCTAACAGGTTGCCATTTCTAAGGTAATTCCAAGCACGCTTCATCTGAATGCATACGTTTTAATAGATTACTAATGCTCCAAGGCCTTGGTGAAATCTCATCTCAGTTTGGCTTAATTTAGAATGGTTTGCAGGCAGTGACTCTAAATGGATACATGGTGGCCATGGTTTAAAATTGAGAAGCTGTGGGGTGTGGAGGGATGGCTCCGTGGTTAAGGGTGGCCATGGTTTAAAATTGAGAAGCTGTGGGGTGTGGAGGGATGGCTCCGTGGTTAAGGGTGGCCATGGTTTAAAATTGTGAAGCTGTGGGGTGTGGAGGGATGGCTCCGTGGTTAAGGGTGGCCATGGTTTAAAATTGTGAAGCTGTGGGGTGTGGAGGGATGGCTCCGTGGTTAAGAACGTGTAGTATCTTGCAGAGGACTCTAGCATATATGTCAGATGGTTCACACTGCCTATAACTTCAGCTATGGGGAATCTGAAACCACCGGTCCTGTAGGACCTGATATGTATGTGCACACCCCACCCTCACAGACCCATAATCATATACATGACTAAGAATAATAAAATAAATATTGAAAAACAAATAGAACATTTTTTTTTTCAATGTGTAGTTCCCAGATAAGGCCTCTGGTAGAAAGAAGGCCCAGTGAATAAGCAAAAGGTAATGGGATTTTGGTAGTTCTTTCTGTCTAGTAGAATTAGTACTGGTTAAAAGAACTGGTACCGGCAGAACTGGCAGAGCTTTAGATGTTAGGCAAGCCCCCAGAAGATCATAGAGGGAACAATGACTGTAAGTATGTCAGTCACAGTCTGAACTGGGCTATGTCTGGGTATGTGTGAGTTTCCTTTGTAGAATCTCTTTAAAACCTATTGGGTAAGTATGTTACAGAAAGCCCTGATGAGAATGTCATACAATTTGTGCTGTGGGATGGGTGCTGTCACAGGAATTACTCTAAAAGACTGAGACAGAGAGTGCCCTATGATGTTGATGAGATTGTACTAGAGATGTAAGAAAGGCCAAGGGTTTGAGCGTCGAGAGATTCTGTGCCATAAAAATAGACCTTCAAAGGGAAAATTGCAACTTCAGTATGAGAGCTGGCAAGTGATGGTAATTCCAGAAGGAAGCAACACATGAACACTTAAGGGACCATTCTAGCTGCACCGGCTCCAAATGAGAATGAATGTCAAACTGGAAAAGCCAGTTGCACATACAATAATCTAACTACAACAGCAGATAGACTCCCAGAAGAATATTTGAAGAGGAAGAGAAGAAAGGCCACTTCTTGGGAATTACTCACTGGTAGGCCTGAGAGGAAGCTAGAGAGGGAGGTGCTGTGTGCACATGGTCTCAGAAGTCATCAATGGAAGAAAATGAGTCAGAGCAGAGCAGTACTGTCAGAGAAAATAAAGGAAAGACCCCAGACTCATGAGAATGAAAACCATGGGAAATACCTTTGGACTGATTAAGACACTAGTGAGTGTGAGCTAAGTGTTTGTTGGTTTGTTGATAATATTTTTAATTTAAATTTGAAACAAGCTTGTTTTACATGTTAATCCCAGTTCCCACACCCTCCCCTCTTCCTCTGTTTCCTCCACCAACACCTGCCCCATCCCCCTTCTGCTCCCCAGGGAGGGTAAGGCCATCCATAGGGAAGTCTTCAAAGTCTGTCATATCATTTGGAGCGAGCCCAGGTCCTCCCCCATAGTATCTCTCAATGTGAAATGGGTTCCCAAAGTCCATGAGCATATTAGGGATAAATACTGATCCAATACTAGGGGCCACATAGACTGCCCAGTCCTCCTAACTAACACCCAAGTTCAGGGGGTCTAGTTCAGTCCTATGTTGGTTTCCCAGCTATCAGCCTGGGGTCCATGAGCTCCCCATTGTTCAGGTCAGCCAGCTGTTTCTATGGGTTTCTCCAGCCTGGTCTTGACCATTTTGGTCATTACTCCTCCCTCTCTGCAACTGGATTCCAGGAGTTTAGCTGTGGGTGTCTGCTTCTGCTTCCATCAGCTCCTGGATGAGGGCTCTAGGATGGCATATAAGGTAGACATCCATCTCATCATCAGAGAAGGGCATTTAAGGTAGTCTCTCCACTATTGCTTAGATTGTTAGTTGGGGTCATCCTTGTAGATCTCTGGACATTTCCCTAGAGCCAGATTTATTTTCAAACCTATACTGGCTCCCTCTATTATGGTGTCTCTTTTCTTGTTCTCCTCTTCTTTCCCTGACTCAATCTTCCTGCTGCCTCATGTTCTCCTCTCCCCTCCCTTCTCCTCCTCCCCTCCTATTCTCCGCTTCTCTTTCTCCTAAGTTCCTCTCCCAGCCCCCCCCCCATGCTCCCAATTTGTTCAAGAGATCGTGTCCCTTTCCCCTTCTCCAGGTGATCATGTATGTGTCTCCTAGGGTCCTCCTTGTTTCCCAGCTTTTCTGGCAGTGAGGATGGTAGGCTGGTGATCCTTTGCTCTATGTCTAAAATCCATATATGAGTGAGTGAGCACATACCATGTTTGTCTTTTTGTGACTGGGTTTCCTCACTCAGGATGGCTTCT